TCCTGCTGATGACAACAAAAGCACCTGCCCTGACTTTCAGTCCTGTTTTCAGTTTGCAAGACCTGAGGTTAGAAAAAGCGTAGCTTTAACCAAAAAAAAAAGAAAGAGAGAGAGAGAGAGAGAGAGAGAGAGAGAATTTGTCAGTATGACCATGAAAGACATTAAAAAAATGGATCTCTAAACAGCACCAGGTTAAGGTTTAGGTACTATCTGGACATGTCAAAGGCCCCAGTTTCTGTGATGAAACAGAGAAATCAGAGTCCTCTTAGTTTTATTAAATGTTGTAATTCTGGCCTTCATGGATGCAAAGCAAATCAGGAGAAAAAAGATTCAGCTACAGCCAGTGATCCAGCCCTAACAACAGGGCACCCATGTCAATGGAGTCACTTTTCACAGTGTAAGCACACTCAGCAGAACAAAATATTTCCCGTCCTACAATCATGGCCAGAACAGTTGGATGGCTACTGCTTTGGGGTATAAGATTTCTTCATTTTCCCTTGCACTTTCCAAACTGGTAAACGATTGAAGCAACTTCGAAAATATCCATTCTCCTCACTGCCATGCTAATTTGGGTTGCAATGCAGCATTTAATTTCTTTCCTTCGCTCTCAGTGCCTACCCAAACCTAGACATTTCAACTAATAACTAATAAATATGTGTAATAAAATGAATCAGAGTATCTGGTTCACTGAATGCCCCAGTTTGGCTTCTGAATGTCTTGATTACAGAAGTAAATGTACTTTTATTGCATGTGTCACATGATTAGTCTTAGATGCCTTAATCATTTTTGTTCGTGAGATCAAACAAAAACAAACTTCCCAAGTGGCAACTTTACTATATTTAAAAGCAGAAAGCACAAGAAAATTATTTCAGAAATTTATCACAACAATCCTATCTGAATGGATTCTAAGTGAATCCTTCTGTCAACTTTATCCCAATTTAGCAAATTCTTAAAGCCAAATCTAACTTTAAGTAGTCCTATTGACTTCTTGAAGGTAGGCAGGTGCTTAACCTAGACTCATCCTGCTGAGTCTCAGCCTTTCTGGATCAAGTTTGAAGACTTGATGCTAGAGAAGACCTTGGGACACAAAAGGATAAATTCTGATGATGGCTATCCTGGCACAATCTCTGCCTGCTCATTAAAATGCAAATTGAATGTGGCTCTTGATGACACTACATAAATAAGAACTAAGGTTCATACAATAGGAAAGTAAATTCATACAGTGCTTAGGTTTGAACAGCACAAACGTTCGTTAAAACACTTTCCAATACCAAAAGCCAAGGATATTTCTGCCAAAAATACATCTCTAGTGTATATATTTTCCAACTTGATATCTAGAGATAAGCAGTACATTTGTAATACCTAGCATGTGCTGAAGGCCACCTTCAAGCGGTACCTTGGGAAGAGGTACCTAATAACTTAGTAAATCCAAGTGACATCGTTTGCAAAACTGATCATTGACTCATGATAGTTTTCACTGTTTATAAGAAGAAAAGATTCTTCACCTATGTCTTTGACCAACCATGTACATCTTGTATTAAACCTATTAAACACAATTTATTTGAACTTGTCTAATCAGAACATAACATCTCATTGGAGACTGGTAGTCAAGGACACCTAAATCTTCACCATAAGCAGAGAACTACTTGTAAATAACCTTAGCACTCAGATTAATAAATTAAAGTTGCAGAATATTAAGTTATATAATTGTTAGAAAAATCAAATGCACATACCTCGTACACAGAGAGATCACATCAAGTCATTGTTAAAGCAAGTTACAAATGTTTTGAATAGCATCATATAAGAATTCAAACATCAGAAAGATAAAATGCTTTTGAAATCAGCGACACTGAATAACGCTTTTAAAAACCGTTTTATGCTAAATTTCCGTGTTGGAATACTAGTTGCTGAATTCAATCTCCTTGGTAGTTAACCAATGTACACCATTCTGTGTTCTCCCCGTAATTGTGCTTATTCGATAAAATTATAAATAAGATTCCCAATATTTAGTTTCTCAAGAAATTGAGATTGCTGAATTCTATTTTTATCTGAGCAATCACAATTGGCATGTTTCTTCTGTTAAAAACACATGGCACAGAAGTTCCATACCTTCAAGAGACTGACTTGAAAAATATAAATATATACTGTATTTATATATAATGTGTATATATACACTATCAATATTCACATTAGAGAATCGGAACAATTTTAATTGAAATTACTTTTTAAGAAAGCCTTCTGTTGTGACTTCATGTCCACATAAAGCATTAAGAATTTTCAAGTGTATCGTGTGAAATGGGGCTTCTTAAACCTAAAGAAAACATACTGGCGAAATATATACGAATATGCTTTTTTTTTTAATGTACATGTTTTCAGATCTGCAGTTTCCACCAGTGACAGCTTGCAAGTTACAAAAGCTAAAAGAGTTATCTGGAGTCAGTGTTTCCTCTCAGCAGGCTGCTGCAGGCAGAGTTCACTCCCAGAAGAAACTATTGGCAAATTATTCTCAAGGTGATGGTTGATGAGATGACTTATGCTGTCAAAGACACGATCTTTTGTACGAACCTTTAAAAAAGAGGATGCAAGAGAAAACATTAAAGAAGGGGCAAAATACTTTTCTTCCCTCAACTTTGCACTAAAATTCTCTAAGAATAAAACAAAACAATTAATCATGTCTTTGTTTTTTTATCCCCAGTTCTAAGAAATTGATCTTAAAAAGATCCCATCTTAAGAGATGGGATCTTCTCCCATCAAAATCTGTGGAAGTTTGGCTGTTTCTGGAGTAAATTCTTCTGTGTCTCCCTCTGTTCTCTCCAAATAGACATTTTGCTTGCTATCTATGGGCCGGTCTGCCATTAACAAGCCTGCCTGAAAACTTTCAGAACATTTTATTTCACTGAAAGCTGGAATTTTAGATCAACATTTCTTCCTCCAGAAATGACCTCCTGCTTTCAAGTATTTTCACCTCTTTCATTACAAAGAGCTGTCCCTCCAGAGAGACCTATAGAGAGGTGCCAGACCACAACTCTTCTCTCCGTGCTCTGGCAACTTTGTGTTTTTCCTCACAAAGGCCTGCTTCTTGAGATGCCAAAAGACTTGCCTCACTTCTGCTTGATAAACTCCCTTCTCCCAGAAGTGATCCAGTCATCATCTGTGTTTGGCTTGTGTTTGCCCTGTGCTGCATAGCACCCACTTGGGCTTTCGAAATTCAAACACTTCTGAGAAGGGAACAGCATTTTCCCAGCACATTTACCAGCACTCTGCACTGGCATCCTGCTAAGTGTATTATTACGTCCATGAGACGAGAACACTGATATTGCAAGGTCAAGCAGTCCAAAGTTAAGGCAGGTCAAAAATTAATTTATATTACAAAACGATCTTTAATTGTATAACTACATCTTCACAAAACGTTTGCTTCCTATGTTTAAAGTGAGTTAAGGCATGCAGCTTCCCCAGGAAGAACATTGGGTCTCTCATGCAAATGTCGTGCCACAATAAAGGTTCACACTGGGATGGCTGTGGGATGTCCCAGCAAAAAGTGTATGAACACTTCTTTAAAATGAAGGATGTCATCTATTTTCTTTGAACTTTTTTTCAGCAAGAGATAACAACTTTTGTTAAAACTTTCCAAAATCAATTTATGCTGTAGCGAGCACCTCACCTGAAATATTTCAGTCTGTACAATTAAATGCTGGCAAAACTATCAGCAACTTAGGACAGGCTGTCACAGGAAAAATAAGCAACAAATAACCTTGATGCAAACGACCCTGTTAGCTTGGTCTGCATGTAGCAATGTCAGTGAAGAAAACCATCAGGATCTCATGACTTCTGAAACATACTGCTGAAACATCACCAGCTGTATTTATTCAAACCTATATTTTCAAAATTACTGGATATCTTTAAAACAGTGCCACCTTTTCAGTCAGTTCAATTCAACTGAGAGTGTTCTCATCCTAAAACAATATGCTCTTCTGGTCTACTTGACCAGAGTTCAAGCTCTCATTCTAAATTCAGCAAAAAGCCTGCAATCTTCAGTTTTAAGCACCACTTACCTTGAACTAGAGGCTCTTTTTGTGAGCTGGATCAGGGTAGAAGCAACAGGTCCGTTGACTCTGCTCTGAAAACAAGCCTTTCAGTGTTGCAACATATCACTGGCTAATTTTGTGCGTGCTAATCAATGGCCAGGCCCTCTTTGTATGCATGAGTTTCATAAATAATTATGCCAAGGCCACATGGAAGAAATGCAAGCCACTGGCATGCTACTCAGGCCTGCTCTACACTTGCATTTTATTGACTGTGCTCTGCTCTGACAAGCTGCTCAACAGCTGCGCCTGGATCCCATTAATCCTATAGAGACAGCCCAGCTAACCTAAATACTGCCATAGGAAACTGGCTCTTATCAAGTGGTGCCTCCTTAAGTGGACTCCTGCGAGAGCAGTGTCTTTGACGCTCCCACAAAGCAGCAGAAATAACCAGTGCACTGTGCCATGACTGTGCAAGATGCTGCGCTGCCCACTTCCTCCTGATCTTCATCCGAAGGCTATGAAGAGCCTGCTAGCTAGAAGTACTCAGGTCTCTTCCAAAATGAACTGTTTCATGTTTGGAGCCCCCTTCCCCACTTTTAGTTGCAGTTGAAAGTTTCCCTACCCTGTTTGTAAATACAACCGCTACTCGCTTAATCCCCAGCAGCCTCCACTTCAACAGGAAGGGGTATGAACTCAGTTCAGTGCTGTTTGTCCATGCGCCTCAATTAATGGATGTTTGTGAAGCTTTCTGAGGCCGTTATGAAACAAGTACTTTAGTTCTTTATTCAGTGTTTCAGGGGCTTTCTTGGCGGAGACAAGGGATTTCTGATGGTGTTACATCCACATTGCATCCGCTGCTCATCCTACTGAGGGGTGGCAGGAGGCAGAGGTGCCTTGCTGGAGGCACATCCTGCCATGACATCCAATTTTTTCCAACAGAGGAGCAAGCTGGAAGACTGCCTTATGGGCAGGATAAGAGTTTCCCAGCCCTCTCTGTGAAGTATCTGTGGACGATGAATCAAATTCCCTAGACACTACCAAATGAGACACACTAGCTTCTTCCTTACTGGATATGGGGACACTGGAAAGGCAATGAAAGGGGTCCAAGACCTAGCAAGCTCCTTCCCTGGTAAGCAGAGCATAACCTGAGCAAAGGTGCAGCTGGGAAACGGGAAGAACATTTTGACATACTAAGCCTTTTGTACAGATTGCTGTTGTTATTCTCTCTACCCTGCCCTCTGGGAAAGGAGGAGGTAGGGAAGGCTTTAGGGCATGGTGGTACAGTACCAAAAGACTGAGAGATGGAGAGATGCATACAAGAAGCAGGTCTCTAGGTAGGGAGGGGGGTAAATTAGTGCTGCCCTTAGAAGCAGTGAAGAAAAGCTGAGAGTCTCCATCCTTCACCCACACCAGCAAAATGGCCTGGGGATCAGAGAGCCTTGGTACTCCCTGTTAGTAAGAACAGCAGCAGATATAGATATCCTTTGCCTTTCGGTGCCCTGCAACAGCTATTTGAATATTTATCTTGAAGAGAAAGTTAGGAGGCCCTACTGAAGAAGTGACAAAATAGCTGGCAAAATTTTAGTGAATGAGGTCCCTCTCTAAGACACTCCGCACCCAGTTTCCCAGGCTGGTGTCTCAGTGAAGCCTAGGACCGCGCAGCTGTCATGTAAGTGCTTTAAAACATCGTTTGACTGCCCTCTTGTGGTACGTATAATTACAACAAGCATCATGGCCATTTCTCATTACAGCATTTACACTCTACAGGATCAACAGAATTCTGCTGGTCTTCTGCAAGTTTTTCAGCTGAAATGGATGCCAGCAGACCACCTCCTTTCCTGGAGTTTCTCAATTGCTTTGGGGCTTGTCGTTTAAGGTTGTCTTTTACAAAGAAGAGGAGTTGCCAGCTGTCTGCTACTAGGAGCCAAGAATAAAGTATGTGGCAACACTTTATGTACAGTCTCAGATGAGGCTAAGCCTCTGCAGAAGCACGACAGGAGAGCTGGAGGAGCTGGAGTTTCTTTGCCCTCACCATTCTGCAGCCGGGAAGCTCCCTTCCTCACCTAAGGGAGTCCTTGTGCTGCAAAGAGATGGATCAGTTTTATCCCGTTTGTCTCCCAGGCTAAGGGCAGGAAACATTTCCAGGGAAAACAAATGGCCTGCAGGGCATGGTCTATAGTCTGTCTAACAGAGACAGCATATGGAAATTTCAGACGCAAAGGCTGTCCTAACTTGCACAGCCATAGCCACTTCTCAGCAAGAAGGCAACAAAAGTGACTTAGCTAAACTTCTGATGCCAAGACTGTATTACAGTGACAAAGTTTGACCTTGATAGCAAAACAGCTCCTAATGCTCCTTGCAGCCTGCAGAAATCATGCAGTAGATCTGCTAAACATCAGGGAGAGAATTAGAGATGTGATGGCACCTTATATGAGGCTGTGATTATGACCAGGTGTGAATAAGCTGTAAACAAGATTAAACATATGTATACAAAATGCGTCAAGTCAGAAACCTCCCTTACTATTATTCGGGAGTCAGCACTTACAGTTCCTTCTGGATCCACCAAAAGAAGATGCTTGGCTTGTCCGTTATGCATGCCAGTCAGCACATAGGAGCCTGGATTCGTGGTACTTTTCCTCACAAGGAAATCTCCACATTTCTTTAACAGCTGTTCTGCTTCTTTCCTGCTCATCTCTCCTTGATACCAAGGCTCTGTACTCAGCTCCTCCATTGTAGTCCAGTCAGCTGCTCTGGATAAAAGAGGACTGGTACATTCAGTGGAGGTGGCCTTACTCAACACAGGCTCAGATGTTTGGTTCTTGAGAGCATCTTCAAATGGTTCTGGGTGCGGACATAGAAACAAATGCAAGATCATTCAGAGGTAAGCTATATTGCAAGATAGTGATATCCCAGTTGTTTCTAACTGGATTTATTTTGTGTAATAGCCACTTCCTTTTATCCTTATGAAAAACTAAGGGATGTACTGCTAGAAGGGATGTACTGCTAGGCCCACCGATTTATGGAACATATTAAGACTGAGGAATGCAATAAGTTAAGAATTTACAGTATGCACAGAAAGATGCTGATAAAAATCAGAGCCAACCTTGCTATGAGCTTTTGAAAGGTACTGATTCTATTTCAGTAATGGCAAAAATAAGATATTGTCAACAGTTGTATTTATAGGCTCGGGTACAGGGCAGAGTTCTCCTTTTGTCTTGACAGTTACGTCAGACAATTTCATTTCAAATAAATTGCATAATATGGGTAGCCAAAGTTATTATGCTCGTATCTGGTCCCTCTTCAAACAACATATTCATTTAACAATTATCCATTACTGAGTCTCCAGCCTAAGGGTATGTCTAGAAGGGATCTGTAGCCCTTATTTCTCAGTCTACGCCTCTTCCTAACAGACACAGGCTAACATCTTTACTGTGATTTAGCTAACTGAAATCATCCTTGAGGAAGCATGTTTTAAACCTCAGCTAACCCCTGAACTCAATCTTACTTTCTCTAGATTGGAAGGGAAAGATGTGTCATTAAATATCCCAACAGTCTTGCAGAAATAGGTCAGTGTATGCTTCATTGTATGCTGTGGTGGCTTATCAAAAGCTATTTTCCCTTTCAGACTTTCATCTGACCAACTAGTATTAAAAAGATATGTTGTTTCGTGCCCATTAGACTTACCAGAGGACATCTGCAGAGCAGGACCAGGAAGCAATATAGCAGCTCTAAAAAGACTGCTCAGAGGCTACGAATATACAGTGGTTGCATGGGGCCACATGGGGTTAATTTAGCTCAGAGAAACAGAGTAAATATTATGCTGTCACAGCTTGTTGATACCTTAGCTAACTCTTTAAATCCAACTAAGCTATGACTTTACTACAATGCAGTCTGCACAAAGCCCAGCACGTTTAACTTAACAAACCATGTTAACATGGGGCTAGTTGACACATTTTCTAATACCATTTTTCTCCCTTGTGATCCAATGGCTAATAAAGATTAATGCAGGCTGGAAGATAAGAAGTCAGTTTTCCTTATTTTTAGGAAAAGAATGTGTACAAAATGGAGGCAAGCATGTGCATGTTTTAAGGACATGGAACACAGGAAATCAAGGTTAACATCCCTCATTTCATAGAACAAACTTTTCTCATTGCAGATCATTCTTCACAGACAGGTACCCTCTCTAACTTTCTTCCCTCTCGCTAGAAAGCACTGTCAGTCATATCTCAGCAAATACATTCCCAGAGGACAGTTCTATGTATACTGAGCTAATAGAAATGTAGATATGTTAATTTACAAGTAACATATAAGTACTAACTGCTTTGTCTCACTGCCTGTTAATGATGTGAACTGAATTGCAATTGAACAGCAATTGACTGGAGGTAGGAAGAGTGGAACAACAGGGAAAGTTTTCTGCTTTCCCCATCCTTTCTGCTAAATACAATCTGTTCATGGCTGAGAAATATATGTAAGGATAGCACCAACATCAAATTATGACTGATGCTTAAAACATTATTTTAAGGTTACGGCTATGATATTGATTTCATAACAGCTGACTTCAGAGTTAAAACAGATAGCTAGATCAGGTCGTAGGTCTATCCAGAGCATGGGATAACATGTTTTTATAATTTGCCTTCCAGTTGCCTTGTTGCACCAAGTCTCTGTAGCATAGCTTTGCTACCCAGTAGCATACCGGCAAGGCTGGCAGAAGCTGATTCTCCAGCCACTCACTCTTTCAGTCCCCTTCACGAGGAGGCTCCCGACCTTATTTTCCTTCTGACATTGTTGCCCATGACACTAAAGATAACACAGGCTGCAACTCAGCTTAGCACACATCTAATACAAACTAGTTTCAAATCTTTGGCCATGCTTATTTTGAACTCAGTCAGAGATGAACAAGCACCACAAATTCCAAAATTCACCATGAATCCCCCAGGAGTACTAAAATTCCATTGAGGGAGTTTCTGAATTCTTTAAAGACAAAATAAATGCGTAAACATATTAGGTCTCTTATTAGGAAGGGAATGAAAAGGGAGGGAACTCACTCATGTCAAATAGATCCTTTCCTGGGCTGCTCTCTTTGGTATTATCAGTTGTTCCACCGAAGGTACTTTCAGCATCTGCCTGAAGTGCCAATAGAGCATCCATATTTATATGCTGGGTGTTCACGTACGTTGGCATCTCTGCCGTCGGGGTTACTTGTGATTTCCCTTCTGGCATGCTATAAACATCCAAAGATCCTAGAAAATTCAAATCCCCCTTTTTTTCTATTTCTATTTTTGGTAGAACATTGTTTTTAGAATGACCAGATAATATCACACATCATTAGCACAGTTTTAAAATTCCCTGGAATGGGAGATGAAAAGAAAATAACTGCTGGGCCTAGTCAAAAAAAATGTTGATAAACGAAGGCAGAACTGTGTCTCATTTTTTTTCCATGAGAAAAGTGAATTTTTGAAAATAAAGAATGTGAGTTTCAAAGCTGATGTGTTGGGAAGTCATGAGAGAAGGAAATTGAATAAAATCTCCAGATTCATGTAGATTAGCAACAGAGAACAAATTCTGGCATTTGAAAAGAAAGTGTCCCCAGAAACACAGGAAAGCCATGAAGTAAATGTGGAAAGGGTGAAACTTCATATAGATGTTTTAACTGATGTGATTTGCTTATAATTCGTAGACAACAACAACAGGGAAATTATGCATGGCTTGTTATTTACAAATCATTTGTAGAGCGCAGTGCAAACACACACACCTTTCTACATTTTTGGAAGGGTTGCTGATTTTAAGCACTTCCTTTGGAAATTCCGTCTTAAACATTTACGATGGGTCAGATTTTTGGAATGGACCAAATGGTCTGCCTTTCAATACCATAGGCTTTTAAGACATAGCAATTTAGACAGGGTTCAGAGCAGGCTGAAGCTTGGGGGCTACACAAATTATGAACCATTCTGCAAAACGTAAGTTTTTATGAAAGTGTGCATAAAATAATTTGTCCACGGGTACTTAGCAAATACCTTTCACTGAAACCAACACTAAAATTCATGGCAAAGGACATGTATCATCAACAAAGTGCAGATCACTGCCCAAAGACCTTGAGGCATCAGACTTTCATGCACTTTGCCCATCCAAGACCACCTGCATATTAGCACCTACGAGTAGTGAAACTCACCTTGTTTAACAGGCCCGTGATGCCAGTCTTCACTAAATTTGTCTCCTAGGTGCCGACTCTGATAATAGGTTTGCTCTCTTCCCACTCCCGCTGCAGACTAGAAGGGACACACACACAAAGAAATCTTCAACTACCTTTAAAACACTGGGATATATTATGAGTGGCTTTGATGATTTCCTTAGTTATATTCTATGTACACCCACTCTTCATTGCTGATTCATCGTGGTGTCAGAATATATGTTTCATGAATGCATTTGTGTAGGAGTAAGGTAATACTGGTTGCCTTCATGTAAACTTCCCTCCTTCCTGCTTTTACTAAGCCCTGCAATCTCAAATGACACATCATCTCCTTCAGTACAGTTGTCTTCACACAGCAAGATCTGACAAACCACCCCTGGGGACAAGTGCTCCACAGAAACCAGATGCGGGATCAGAAGACGCCCCAAACACCCTCCAGAGCACCAGCTGGAAACTCACACCGGTACTAGGGGATTCAGCTAGGTGTTGAAGGGAGGATGCTTTCTCTAGACAAGGCCTTTCTGTCACTTAAGCAGAGTTGTGCTGGATCTGAAAACTCGTCTTCAGTGGCCATGTTGATATTGCAGTCAAATGTCTGATGGCCATGCCAGCAGAAATATCCGAGCTGACTTTAAACCAGATGTTCATGTGCCACTACATTGAGCCTCAGCACCACAGAGTTCAATGTGGGATGCAAAACCTATCTAGGAGCCTGGCTAAATACTGACTGCTACTGAGTTATTAACATAATTAACTGTTAATAATGACTGCACTAGACTGTTTAAACAGTTCTGCATCAAATCTTTTCGCAGGTCATGTGCACTCCTTACCATACCAACCTGCTGGGAGAGCAGAAAGAGTAGGGTCTAGGCTCCAACCACCACCACGTGCCTCTGCACAGAGAAGTGCAACTCATTCAGCTCACACTCCTTGGGTCAGTGTGAGGGCAGAGACGTACCAAGGGCTGAGCAGGGCCCTGCTGATTTCCCTAGGCTCCGCAAGGCCACCGGCCACCGGCTAAGCCTGCTCAGCCACACCAAAATCACATAGTACAGGATTCATTACACTGAATTGCAGTTATCTCTCTTCTTACCTGTAACAGTTATAATGAAGGGGTGAGGGAGGAAAGAAAGAGGTGACGATTTCAGCTAGCCAACAGAATTTGAGCTCTTTTGATTCTAGTTTTGTTAATATTGCCATTGCCTGCATCTTAAATCAAGGTTCAAAGTCCTTTCATATCAGAGATTGGAGGTAGCATGAAATGTTTGGTATGACAGTGAGGGTGAGCCAGGAGAACAGCTCTGGGGCTCACAGAGCCTGCCAACCAATGAGAAGAGCCTAAAGTTGTAATGATTCAGTAAAAAGGCTAAATGTTGAGTTCTGTTGCAATGGGCGAGGCCTGCAGAACCAAACTGAGGTGCTGATCTGCAAGCAGCTAGCTGAGATTGGTTGAGGCCAATGCCTTCAACAGCACTTTTAGGGTTGGTCCGAAAAGAGATAAAGCCCACTATGCTTGTACTCACAGTTCTGTGAGGGGCAAGAGAGAGGAGACCTTCACAGTTCCAGAGCTAATGCCAGGAGTCTATAGATGGTAGCCAACAACTCCTTCCATCCAGCAATCCTGTCCAGGGGCATGGCAGTCTTCTATCCCCCCAGTTTCTCATCCCCACCCCCACCATGGCTGATTTCACTTCCACAGAATAAGAGATCATCTTTCATTTTTTTACTCATGCTGATAAGTAAAAATGTAGAAATCATAAAAACATGGAGGAGTGATCCTGGCTTTTCAAATAAAATCTCCACCTAGTCCAATATCTTGTTTCTTACAGTGGCCAAAAACAAATGAAAGAGCAAGGCTAAGAGAGATCATGGATCTCCTATATATTGTCCCAGATATCATTTGAAACTCTGAGCAAACCACTGCAAGTTAGTAACCCTCAGTGGATTTCTCTTCCTTGAACCTGTGTAACCCTTTAGTACCATGAAGAACTCACCTCCTTTTGTTTGTCCCGAACCTGCCTAATTCGTTGCCCCCTAGATTGTTGATGCTCCCTCTTTCAAAAGGAAACTGGCCACACATGAAGGTTGTAGGCTATAAATGTTCCCATTGCATCCGTCTTAAAATACCCATCACTTTTCAATTTCAGATTAGCAGCAGGAGGGCAGAGATGCAATTGCACTGACCTGAGCTGTATCCGCAGCAGTGGGAAGTCTCGCTTTGAGTCTGGCATCAATGAAGCCGCCAGGAGGGGGCATTTTATTTGGGACGTTGTTGTAATATGGATGTTCTGCTGCCTCTCCCTCTTCCTCCATCCACGGCTCATCAAAACTCTGCATCCTGTAAGAAAGTGACTGCTTTATTTTGCCCATTACTTGCAAAGTGCTTATGAGCACTTGCAGCACGACATGTCTGTCAGGGGGTCACTACTGCATATTATTTTGACAATTCAGCTACACTTACAAGTCAGGAAGGAATGAGGGATCAGGCAGCAGACCCTCTCTGTTTAGACAAACTTAATCGAAACACACTTTGCAATCAATGAATTTCTTTATGCTGACTAAAGGATGTTTTCACTCAGCCTTAATAATAAGTGCCATTAAAAATGAATTAACAGACTATTGTATTTAACCTCACTGCAGCATTTGTAATATTGTTACTTGATTGACTGACTAAATTCTAAACATTGTCTTTAATTATGGCTGCTCTAACACAGATGTAAATCTGGAAGAACTCCATGAAGTCGAGAGATCAGATTTGCAGTTTTACTCTACATTTAACAGTCATTTACACCAGTCTAAAGCGAGTACAGAATGCTTCCAGATGAAAATAAGTAGCATTTTATATTCACCATGCACTCATTTTACTTTGATGTAAGAAATCACACAGGGTACCAGATCATTGGGTTTACACTAATATTAGTGAGCATATACCAATGCATTTCAAAACCACAGCTCACTAAAGAAAAGAGAATGTTTTATCCTAGCCTGTTAAACATACATGAATAGACAGCTTTGGATTCTCCAGAGAGGAACGCAGTCAAAGCCTGTCTACAATACATTATATTCCTACAAACTTCACCTTGGCTAATATCAGAAATAGTGAAACATCATTAGTCATTTTCAAAGCCCAGTAACTCTAGTTTACTGAATCTGAATTGACAGAGCTGCTATGACAGTAAAAACGAGGAGGAATTGCCACACATGACATCCACTCTTGGCCATCCAACACTATCTACTAACTACAATGGAAAATGCATGAACTTTTCAATAAGTTCACTATAAAATGCATATTTAAACATTCTTTTAAAGTGACTGTACTCCTTTTATATTCATTAGGCAAACCCTGCTTTGCTAATTCAGCAGAAATCTCTTATTTAAGTATTTAAGTCCTGTCCTTCTCCAGCGATTTGCCCACAGCACATTTTACTATGTAAATACAAACCTAAATCAGATTCTTTAGCAGTCTTCTGCAGTCGTACTCACCGATCCTGGAAAGTAGGCGTCTTCGAGGGACATCGTAAGTATTGCTTAAATCGAAGCTCAAAGGCTTGCCCTATGGTGCTGATGACATCCTGTGCCAGGCCATCGCAACATTCCAGGATATGGCAAGCTAAATGAAAAAGGTTGACACATGCAAATCGTTATTGATATTATGCCTGGATGCACTAACCTATGACAAAAGACCAACAGGTCCGGCATAGCTGCACTATTCATGGTGGTGCACATTTCACTAAAACCCAGATCAGCTACAGTGAATTTCAGACAACAGGGCCTTTAAAGGTTAAATAGAATTGCTATGGTGTATAACTGCAGTAGGTGAGACCAGAAATCAGTTCCACAATTTTAACACATGCATGAAGACAGGAAATCTCATAAAATTTCACAAAACTGCTTTCACTTGCATCTGAATGCAATAGGTTATATGAGACCTTGCAGCTTTAAGTTGAGATTTAGTGACGAAAAAATCCAACTACTCCAAGCTTTCTTTGCTTTCCTCAATTTTACCCCCACGTTAGTTTTAAAACCTAATCATCCCGAGTTTGCAAGGCCGTCACTTTGAGTTTCTACAGTTTCCCAAAATACAGGTGCGGAGAGGAGCCATAACTCTGATACTTCCCAGATCCTGGGCCCTGATATGATTCCAGTAATAGAGAGGACTGGGACCTTTTCCTGCTTGCCACAGAGTCACTGCTAGCAAATTATGGGAGCACTTGATAGCAAAGAACCAGGAAATTGGCTTATTTCAGCACTCTTTTGTGTGCCATCTCTCTGAACCTGCCATGATGGGGGCAGTAAGGACAACTGGCAACACAAGCTCTGTCCTGCGGGAGACTGAGAAACTTCTATCCACTGTCTGAGCAGTTCCAGTTTTAAAAACAGAGTGGCTCAGAGGTATCATCCTGCAGATGGTTTTTAAGAGCTAGAAGCTAAAGGGCTGAATTAATACCTCAATGATATTAAGAAAAGCCCAAGTGAGTTCGTATTCTATATTCATTGCTGGACAAGTACACAGCCTGCTGGTTAGAGCCTGGATTGCCGTTGAGGATCTGGTTCTTTTCCAAGCCCTGCGTAGTACCGTGATACCTTAGTCAAAGTCATTAACTCCTGTCTCCCGACCGCTTTACTAGTTTGAATATAAATTCTTCCATTGAAGAACTGCATTTTAGTATGTGTGCAGTGCCCAGCTCACTGGAATCAAGAGCTTCAGATGCCAGTGTCCTACAGAAAAGGGTTGCGTGCAAATAATTTGCGTGCAGCTGTGTAATTTTGTCAGTTAAAGCTATACAGGAGGTGAAGAAAGTTTAGCAATGGCCTTCCAGAGGCTGGTCTGCTGGATGGACTTCTGAAGAGGTCAGAATAAAGGGCCAAGAAACCTGCAGCTCTGCAGGTACAGAGCTACGAAGGCACCAAACTGTCACTCCCTCATTAGCAGCACCGGAGGTAGCACGAGATGGAACAAGTCACCGCGCTGCCTTGCTAAACAGACCCAGAGATGTTCTCACCTTACAGCATCTACTGTGCCCACCAGCAAACTGAGGCAGTGTCTGATTTGGGGCACAGGTCCCGAACTGCAGGTTGAAAGTGGATTTAGAGGTTCACATTCCTGGCTAGCAGCCGGCTATTTGCTGTTTGCCCTCCCTGCACCTCTGTTGGCAGTGCTGGGCAATCCATCCTCAGATAAGGTACAGACATATCTTCATGAATGTGGACGGAAAGAAGTTAGGTCAGAACCACAATTTTTTTCACCCTTTAGCAGGAGCGGGTATTTAAAGAGGCTACATCACTCACTGCTAAGCCTGCCTGGAATGAAGCATGAGTCATTTTTTTTAAGTAGCTTCAGTAGGTGACATAATGAATAACCTGTTTCCTTGGATACATGAATGGACTTTCGGCAGGTAAGAGATGCGCTTCTCGTAAAAGGACAAGAATGTTTGGCTGACACGAAGATGCTTCCCTGCATATGGTACAGCAGAAGTCAGACGCAGAAGCCTTTAGCTTGCTAGATGCAGAATATAAAACTCTAAGAAGAGAGCTTTCCCACTTTTGGGAAGATATGCAACTAATATGCATGTGCAAGCTCTCTTACAGCATGGGTCTTGGTGTCAATAATAGCAGCAGTAACATTTTCACTAGATATGGAAGCACATTTGAACTCACTTCTAACGTGTTTTCCAAGTAACACAAAGACTGACAGAATGGCCAGCGATGGTGAAAAAGGCGATCAAGGATCCTTTGGTAAGCTAAACTCCTTGAAAAACAAAATGCTTTAATGCCAGCCACATGCGAAGTCACAGATCTGCAGACCACTGATGTATACACACATGGGGGAAATCTGTTGTGCAAACTCTCACTCTGAGGGATTAAGGATTGGAGTGTAAGAGAATTTCACACGAGAAAAAAAGTACTACGCTGCAGCACAAATTGCTAATGACAAAACTGGTTAATGAAGAGGCCAAAAGCAGACAAAAATAGGAAGGTGTGACCTCTATTACAGATCGGTGAGACTAACACTAAATTACTCCAAACATAACTAGCATTGATCTGCATTTTGAAAACAATGCAGAAAAATTTAAGATGGAAGAACAAAAATGATTTGAAGGATGGAGGACAGGTACTGTAGTTGGAGACCTGCAGAATTCACTCTGCTAAACCTTTTGTAAAGAAAACTGAGGGGCGACTTGATCACAGCTCATAAATACATCCCTGGGAAGATAGTATCAGGTGTTTAAACTTTGACTCCTCAATCTAGGAGAGACCAGCATAACAAGAAACAGTGGCAGGAAGCTAAGGCTAAACAAATTCAAGTTAGATATAAGGAACATAGTTCATGAAACAGCTTTTAGATAAAATCCATTCACACAGGAACAGAAGACAGAACACAGGGCTGCTCCAGACCCCACAGTGCCCATGTCTGGTCTGCGATGCTGGCCCTCTAGGTTACTGCTGAGATCTCTCAGGGTGACTAAATTAATCTCCAGTTTTGAAGAATGGTTCAGCTAAAGAAAAGGGGTTGAGAGCAGTTCCACACAGAACAGCCTACAGTCTGGTGCCTGAGCCTTTCTAACAAAAGATTTGTGAGGCTGAAACACACAGGCATGGCAAGGAACTGAACCATCTCCACATCGTAATCCCCTCATAAGTTTTCTAATCATTTGACTTACATTCAGCATATTAGAATGTTTAGTGCATGTATTATCTATGAGCTAACACTGCCAAGACTGGACATTTCTGCACATGGATACAACAGGTTGTTGAGGTATCTAATTAAATAATTAAATAATTAAAGGTCACAAAATGTGGAAGCCATTGAGTTAGTCATGTCCATGGTTAGGTGGCAGCTAAGGGTTTGCAGGTTTGTGATTTTGGAGTTAAAGTGTCTAAATTCTGAAGAAATCTCACTGGATGCACTTGAGTCTTTTTTTGGAGCTAGTCTTTTTTTTCCTATGAATCTATGAATAATAAACAGATTCTCAGGTACATTATACAACACTCTGTACCTCATACCAAGACCTAGTGATGCTTTCTGCATTTCAAGTGAAGAGTGTTTTCTGTATCTGTTATTTCAGACTATAATTTACACTTTTTATAATTTAGCTTTATTTTTGACAACATGAACTGCATCTCAGTCTTTGAAAACAACCAACAAAAGGTGCCTTATACCTGACTGATCTCTATGAAAATAATAGAGCTAGGCATCTCCTTGAATAAAACCGCACTGAGAAAGAGGACAGCCTCCAGCAAGTCGGCTAGAAAGCTCACTATTTGATAAGGAATCTGATGCTGTCAGGAAGGATTAGGCATATACTGAGAAGATCTAACAGATCCAGCCTCTTAATCAGAAGACTTAATCAGAGGACTGCTTAGTTCTTGCATCTTAATTGAGTTTAGGTATGAGACAGCTGTTGCCTAGAAGTTCACACTGCCAAAACTAGCAAGCTCTTGATTTAAGACATGAAGAGAATCTAAGTGATACTTAGAGATGAACCACAGCTAAGATCCGTTCAGTTTCAGAACCAACTTGTGTATGGCGGTTCCTTTATTGCCACACAATTGTTCCATGACTCTGCCAAAGGCAATCTTTTTATCGAGTTATATTTATTTTTTTTCTCAAAAAAATGGAGTAAATTACACTATGAATAATTCATGTTTCTCAAAGGAAAAAAAGATGCCAAATAGACATTTCTAACTTACCTCGCCGATTAACAGGGTCCTTAGCTACATATGCAACATAGTCAGTTGTATCCTGTCAAAAAATTAAGATATCTATAATGAATGCAAAAAAATGTTTGCACTGATCATAGGAAAAGATCATAGTCCACAGTGTACATATTCTTGTGGGTAGGATCTCAATATGACATGTCTAGCACTACAGTTATCTACTGCTTGGAAACCTGCAGCTTCTCATTTACTGCGAAAAAAGTTTGTGGGTTTTGATACTGATCCCATCACTTTGCTTTCCCCAGAGTGCGAATCAGCGATCAGCAGCCTCCCAAGACACTCTCCCTACCCATGGGCTGCTCCCAGCAGTCCCCATTCCCACATGCCAGGTGGATTTTCTGGCAAGAGCAGGCTCACATCTTCTCTAGTGATTTCTTGCTCGCTCTCTGCCCACCCTCCCGCTCCCATGCACAAGCAGAGCAGACTTTTATCATCCTGCAGGTGAAACGGCACAGGCAACACTCTGGGGAAATGTCAGGTTTACTGGCGCATCTGGAAAATGCCAGATACACTTGATTCAACTAGGAAGTTGGTTAGATCCATGATTTCCTGACGTGCCTGGCTAGTCATGTATATCTAAAGCTAGCTGAACTAAATACAGGGCACACTGCAGTTGGCAGTGCATATCTAGTCAAAGCATCCCCAGGGGACTGGTCCAAGACCACTGAACATATTATCTCAAGATCTAATGTCACAACACATACCAATTTTGAATTACATGACAGATTTCTTTAACTTAGCTTTCTCTAATACAAGCACACACATACCCCTCCCAAAACAAATCACTGTGCTGCATACACAGGTCCCTTCCTAAGGAGAGGATAATGGAAAGGATGAAGCACATTTATGGCTCTGATGTCAGATGTGTAGCCATATCACTTAATGCACTACTGGAAGACACTCAGACACGGCAATAATGAGGTTGGTCTGTAAGAAAAAAATAAAAACAAAACAAAACAAAAAAAAAAAAAAACAGAAGAGAGAAGAATAGCCCTAGCTCTTTGTCTAGTAATTTCTTATGCATCCAGTGACATAGTGTCTGGGCAATGACTTCAGTGGAAATAATGAGGCATATCAACAAGTAATAGGCAGAGAAAAGTGGCTATGTCTATAACAGTAAATAGAGACAAGCTGCAGGCCTGAGAGTTGCCCCACACTTGTCCACACTGCTTAACTGTCAGTACTCTCCCCTGCCTAGCTGTGCCAGTTCCCCAGGTAGTGCCCTGGAACCGTCTAAGGGAATAGCACCGGCTGGGCACCAATCCCAAGAAGCCATAGTATGGAAGTACGGATGCAAATTGTCCTGTGCTGTTTGGTCTCTAGGCAATGAAGACAGTCCATGGATCATTTTATTTACTGGTACAGATATATCTAGTGCATACATTGAAGCCAGAGATTTTCAGCATCAGCTGAAGACAAGTGTGAATGTGCTGTACATTAAGCCTAAAAGAAACTGCATTGTGGTTTAAACATTTGGAGGCATCAGCTGGACTGAAATAGGGCTTGCACCTGAAAAAATGCTCTCCTCAAGGACCCCTGAGAGACCTGACTTATGAGATGTCTCTGAAATTTCAACAGGCATCTCCAAAAGCAGGTGTCTTGTTTAGTGGCCTGGAAACAGCCACCTGAAATGATCATGGATGAAAAATGTTTGGTGTATCATAAGGGAGCCTGGAGAGAACTAGAGCGGATCCAAACACTGTCTTGGAAGTGAACTAAAAATGATTCTGAAATGGTACATGAAAGGATTTGGTGGAGCCATTTTAAGCTCACATGTACTGACAAAGCCTGAAACTATCTGACTCATTGCAAAGGGGAATATTGCAAAAATATATGTGGTACTCAAGCTGTTCTCCAAGGCTGTGGAACGCTTCTCCAATGGATATATTTTGAATGATGAAGGTAATTAATGCTTAGGGAGTGGGAGGAAAGTTGCAAAGCTAATTGCTGGCACCAATGTGTAGCAGACACCCAGAGCAGAAAACTGGATGGGGCGAGGAGTGGGGGGAGTCTAGCTTCCAAATAAACCAGACTTCAAAATGCAATATAAGGGAAGTATCCTCTGAAGAAGCTTGGGAACAGATGTGGGCTTCTCATGTCTAGCACCTTTCTTCTTCCACTTTAAATCTCAAATAAGGGAATGAGCTTATGGGCCCAATTGTTTTGGGGAGATAAGTTTTTTGTGATGGCATTCCTCCACTAGGTGGAAATGATGAAGGGTTGAAGAAAGTTATGTCTGGATAGGCCCCAGATGGGTTAATAAAGCTGTGACTTAAATTATGTCCTTTGCGTCCTGTCTTCTTTCCTGTGCGCTCGGGACAAAGGAACCACCTGCTTTATGAACAAGCTTTTTTGATTTAAAGTTGTGCCAGATACTAGCCCACTGAGACAAGCCTGTAGAGCATCATTAGATACTCGCACCTACCCTCTCCACCCCCAGGATGAGATCATCATGCAGTGGTCTTATTGGGAAGGCTGCTTTATAATTTCACTGACTGTTTTACAGGCTCCCTTCCACGATGCAATTTGATTTCTCTGGTAGCTCACTGACTCAGTAGCATGATTTTTATCTCTCTAAAACATTTGGAAGAGCTTGTTTACTCCAAATCCAATCGCTACTGCTGCTGCTCCTCTCCTCTTCCCTGGTAAATCACTCTATCAGTGGGCAGTGTGCAATGGTGTTTCCAGGACTCAGCATTTGGGATGGCAGATGGGGAGCGAAGAATCTTCTTACGGAGGCAGGGAACTGTGCTAATCACTCCTCTGCCCACTTCAGGAATTGTTCATTTACAGCATCCATGGCAATCTGTTGTATTTCAAAGCTGCTGTTGATCCATTTTTTGTTCCCCATATTATTACGATATGATGTCCTTTCTCCTCCTGGACCTTCACTGAGTTCAGCAGAGTTATACCAAGACTGAACTTGGCCCTTATGTTTACTGAGAGTAGCAAAATGAAGAGAGAAAGTGCCAAGGGTCTTCAACTTAACAGAGTTAAGCTGAGAGAAATAACTCACAGGGCAGGCTAGAAACTACTTTACCTGTATTATATGACTGATTAATGACAGATAATTATATGACTGATGAAAATGTAGACTCATTCAATTAAACCAGATTTGAAAGCTTTCAGAGCTCTAGGCTAAGAGGTGAGCCTTGTCCCTGTTTTAAAATTCTCCCACTTCTTCCTGCGTGAGAAATACTTCTGGAGCCCATTAAAACATGACTTTGGATGGACTGCTCATAAAAACAGGGAAAAGCGCAAGAAGCTGAGGTCTGTCCTTTGGTTTGAATGAACCACATGTGTAGGTATATCTGAAAACTTGGTAAAATTAGAAAGGAAGATCTAGGCTTCTGAAAGCCCTTCTTCAAACTGCCTGTGTGTGACGAATACACCTGAAGGCAGTATTTAGGACAGTCTTCTCAATGTACAGTTAAATACAAGAAGGAAAAAATACATATGTTGCTATAAATATAACTGTAACATAAGTCCATTACCATGAAGAGGACAAAACGAAAAACAGTCAAGATGAAAATTCACACAACACCCATCCGACTATACTACATTGCTCTGAAAAACAGAGCCCCACTTATCAGTTATTATATGAACGCTCGCAGCCCTTTGATACTTTTCATTTCAGTCATTCAAGGAGGAGGATTTATGACTGCTTGTCAGTGGCTTCCTCAAAAAGAGTTTGATGGCAACAATCAAGGAGAATTTATGAAACAAGAAACAGAGGCTGCTGTGGTTATATTTTCCTTTCAGTAAGCTACGCAATAAATTTTGGCACACAGTCCTCATAAAGCAATATCTATGTGGGGGAAAGCTTCAAAGAAATGCTTACCGGATCACCTCCAGATGCAAAGGAAATAGATTGCATATGGTGATTTGCTATGATCTGTACAGATCAGAAAAAATAAGTACAAGTTAGTAGGTTTTCTCATAGAGTTTACCCTTTTGATTTCTTTTTTTGGTTTGTGTGGGGGTGAAAATCCAAAACCAAGATCAAAATAACTTCTGCATTTCACCTTCAAGGAGTGTAAAGAGTAGCATGATAATATAAACAAACTTAAGGATGAATGTTTTTAATCTGGTGTTCTTTAAAACGTAGCAGGACACAGTGAAATTGTTAAATGCGCTCAGAACTCCAGTAAATCATATAGCTCTGTCATACAGTATCTTTGGAGAAATTTTAATCTGCTAAGGCTCACTTTCTTTATTACAGTTAGTGATGAATGGAGCAAAGGGTCCTATTCATCAAAATACTTTTCTGCTGATGCCACCCTGGTGAAATCAATGAAATCCCGCCAACCTGCACACCCGCTAAAGATCCTAACATTGCTTCCAATACCTACTGTGTAATTTTATGTTTGAGATATTAAACATAAACATGTTTGCAATACGCAATTTGAATTTTGAATATAGCTGCAATCTAGGATTACGGTCACAATCTCAGGCACGCTCTAGGGCATTCGAAATGACTACATTCATTTTGCTTATGTGGAGTTTGAACCAATGCGATATTTCTCTGAGAAGAGACAAATTGTCACGAACCTCTAATACAAGCAGAACAGCTCTGCTGTATTGCTATTCTGAGACTTAACTTACAAAATCTTTTAATAATAAAATCATCTGACAACTGAGAACAAAAAGGTCATTTTAAATAAAAGTTTGCTTGATTGTTTAGTCACAGGAACAATACCACATAATTCACTTGCTATAGGAGAGGGCCCTTATTTAGAACTCTAGAGTATGTGACAATAGTCATTTGGATCTTAATTGCTCACTTTGGAGAGGGTAATATGTACTACAGAAAACTCAGTTTCGGGAAAAAAAGAAGTTATAAAATATATTCTCTGGGCTCTTTTCCCACCCTGCATCTTAAAGACCTGAAATAGCAACTATTTTCTTGAAGAGAAAAAAGCCTGACATGAGTTTCTCTGGATCTTGCCATTTCACTCACTCAGAAAGAATAGACAAAGAGAAAAATTCTTTCATATAAAGTTCATTTTTAGTACTGCTGCTTATCCCATGGCAGCCTCGGAAGATGTGGTTAATTTTTAAACGTTCAGTGGAGGACCATCCTTCCCTCACTCCTCAAAGGTGGTTTCCTTCTCTTTTTTCCCATAAAGAGGAAATGACTTCAACATCAAAGATAAAGTAATAAGGATTGGTTGCACATTTAATGTCATTGCTATCTAAAGTTGCGGAAATAACCTGATCTTTCCGTTCAGCAGCATAAAAAATAGAAATTATTTCAGATAGCCCCAAAAATTAATTTTCCAAATTTTAAGGAAACTGGAAAGTGTTTTAAACTATCAGTTCAAGATAGATTTTTTTTTTATTCAACCCCAGAGCTAAAAATTGTAATTTAGTGTGGGATAGGGGAATGCACACACACACACACACAAAAATCACCGTTCACCCATCTCTACTTACAAGGGTCACAAAGCTTCTGTACAGGGATGCAAGCAATTGCTTGCCTGGTGCCCTAAGGGCTGAGAACACTGTCTTTTCTCTCCTTCCAGCTCCCCTGGGAGCAAGAGGCTATTACAGAAGTCCAGGCTGTTTTTTTTGGATGGTGCTTTAAAGGACAAAGCTGCTGGGTCAGGCTTATTTTCAGTATTTTTAGAGGTATCTGAGAGCTCACATTTTTACAGCTCACGAGGTAATCAAATGCTTGGCAGAAACGAGAAACGAGGGAGATCACAGCCAGATCTTCGGGGAATCTTTGAGAAACCAGATGTTTCCCATTCCTCCAGCATCCAGATCCAGCCTATCTCAAAAAGAATGATGTGAGAGAAAGATAAACAGTTTTGTCGACTCTCTCATATTTCAGTTCACTGGAAATTACTTCATCTCTCGTCGAGAAAAGCCAAAACATTTGAGGGAGGATCCTTCCCTGGGATAAATCAGTTTAACTCCATTTCTACCCTGACGCCAGCTGAAGACAAGGCCACTTTCAGGGTTTGGCACTTCTTTAATAGATCTTCTTGCTACCGAGTTCCTATGCTGCTAACTGGGGGCAACTGTGCTTGCAAAAAGCCCTGCTGCGCATATTCCATAACATAGCTCCAACCTACTACAGCCAGACATAATGCTGCTCTCACAGTCTCCGTGCTTTCATTGCAGAAGATTACAACATTTTCTAAACGAGGATAAGAATGAAGAAAAGATAAAACAGCAGAAACATAATAATAAACAGCAAGCTTTTAAATATGTCGTGGGTAGCCTTTCTTATCCTTTTATCCTGAGGCTTATGAGGACAGCAGGGATTTTTTTTTTTTTCTCTCTAGCTGTATCTGGGCAGAAAGTTGCGTGCCTTAACGCAGTATGTAGCTCACAGCAAATAGCATAGCAGTGACTACGCAAGTCTGCCTGCTTTCTCTTGATATATACACTGAGCAAGGATTTTTTTCTCATCTCATACATCATTCACAATCCACTGCAGTGATTCCCCCACGTTGGTATGTACCTTCAGCACAAAGAAGAAGAAGAAATGGGCTGGTTGAGCAAGGCTGCCTTGTCTTTCTAAAAGACAGGCATTTCACTGCACTGAAAAATCCCTGTGGCTGTATTTTTAGCAGCTCCGCAGGAATAAATTGCCCTTTAAGACTCTAAATGGGAAGAATGAAAACCAAATTGGGGATGCGCATTCATTTCTTTAGTCACCTACCCCATCCTTAACCCTATGAGAGTTTGTAACTGCACCCAGACAAGAACTCCTACCACTAGAAAATGCCATTTTATGTTGTAGGTCTGTTTACAGAAAAATGGAGCTACTTGAAACATGGACAAAAGAAAATAATTCATCTAAGCTGTGCCGAATACTTAAACTATGACTCCTACTATGTTTTACACTCTGTTTTCATTGAGTTTGTAAATGGTATTGAGGAATAGTACTTTGAGCAACTGGCTATTTCAGCAGATAGAAAATAACTATTCAACAGGCTGTTCATCAAAAGCCTCACCAATTATGGCAGTTAAACTCACCTGTTTCGTATCAGGCGTCATTAGATTTAAACTGGTGGTAGAGATGTTCAGCATTATGCTCATTCCTGCGAACTGTAGATTGCTCTTTCCCAAGATGCTAGAAAGAACTTTGCTTGGTGGCTGTGAGGGGAAAAAAGGCACATTTTTGTTCTCTGTTCATTTGGGCCAACAACTTATTCTATATAGAGTTAGCTGAAATCTTAAAGGTTCCTAAAAAGTTGCTGGCTTTCCAAAGATCACTTGATTGGAACAGCTGTTTCTCCTTTGGAGACCATTCTTCACTTAAAAATAAGAGTCATAACAATAAAGATAATGAATAACCATGTACGCCTCAACATTTGGCCTAAAAAAGTATTTTTTTATGAAATAGGAGAGTCTTAGCTTAATGGGAGCCAAGCAAACAGACCAAGATAAATGTCTTAGGTCCATATCTTAAAACAGGATATTCTTATTCTGTAAAAACAACTTCAACTCCTGAAAAAAATCTGTTGTTTGCTCTGCATTTATTGACTGCTCTATCCCCTCTCCACATGGAAAGCGGGACGCCTGTGATGGTGATATTGATGGGACGTTCACAAATAGGAAATTGCAGTGTCATTACACTTGTCACTTTCTTAGCAGTAGGCAAAAGCCCAGCCATGGGGTTATACCTGTGTACGCTGGGTCCACTCTGCAGGTAATGATTACTCCTCACTCAGAGTAAGTACGAAGCAAGGGGAAGCCAGAGGGGATGTTAATAAAACCAGTAACTTTTGCAGGCCTTTCACTGAACTTGCATTGGTGATAAGGTGCCCACAACCTTGGAAAGATTTGTCGCTATTAACAGGCTGGATACATTTGTGCCTCTTTACTCCTTATATGGTTCACCTCTTCAGAGTTTGGGAAATAGGTGTGTAAAACTGGCCTGAAGAAGTACATTTCACTTTAACCACATTCGTAAACCAGAAGTGACAAAAACATGAGAAGTGATGAAAGTGCAAAAGATACCTTTATCCTACCTAAATCTTTAAGATTTAGCTGTAATTCTGTTGCTGGGCAAAGTTTCTCTTCAAACAGTAGGCTTATTTTAAAAACAGTATATCTTTTCAATGACTGATAAGCAACGCTACTTCTAAAACAGTGATATAGTAAGGTGTCTCATTAGGCCCTTGGGATGTTATTTAACCTACTTTTCCAGTCACACTTTGTGTCATTTTGCTTTTCAAGGAAAAACATATTTTCCTCTTTTCAGGTTTAAAAGCCAAAACCAAGCAGAGAACCTAAAAATGCCATGAGATGTATTTGCAGGGTGGAGGAACACTCCATTTCAGAGACAGTTTCCATTATGCTGTAATGCACGTCGTTTCATCATCTTATTTTACCAGGGGACCAGAATCCTCACTGCACAAGCAGGGTTTCTGTCTTAACTTTCCACTAGGATCCTGCCTAAATAGCCAGCCAGGTAGGACAGTTTCCTTCACCTGCTTATTCTCCTTCTGCACCCGACAGCTATTAATAACGCAATAGCTATAATTAATTGTATTCTATGCTCCTTCCCTTAGACTTGCTCTGAATTAAATCCTAGCTTTGCTAGTGGGCTTGTGGAAGAGCAGGCAGTGGGAGACTGCTCCAGGAGCAGAAAGTGAACCTGCTGTGGTCAAGGCGAGGTGTAAGCTATAGGCACAGCTTTATGTGAGCTGGGGTCTCCTAGCAGCATCACTGCAGCACCACCGAGCTCACTGACAGCTGCAAAACCAGAAAGGCTTGGGCTGGTCCCGAAGCTGCCAACACATCCTAACCACCATACCACAGCCTCTCCAATACTGGTAGGTTATATGATCAGGCAGGTTTTCAAAGCGGTAGCTGCAAGAGCAGGCAAGTGATCTCCAAAGAGGTCAAGCTGTGCAAAGCAGCCCTCGGTCCTGCCTGGCCGAGGGGCAAGAGCCAGTGCTAGCCCAGCTGTGAGAGCCACCAGCCCAGGGGTCAAGCCAAGACATCCTCCACTCCTCGCCCACACATCCTAACTCCTGCTACACAAATGAGAATAAAAGCAAAGTAATAACTGTGTTCAAGGCTAAAGCCCATCTGTCCTGCCTTGAGTGCTGGCCACTGAACAGCTGGCAGCAGAAGTTTGTGAAAACAGTATTGGAAACGGAGAATCACCTGATATGTTCTCTCCATTTCCAGAAACCAGCAACTCAGGAGCTTCCTAACCTGTTGAACAATCATCGCCAGTAGGGCTATCCTCCATGAACTGAGCTAGTCACTTGTGAAACTATTTATATGTTTGGCTTCTGCAATAGCTTCCAGCAATGGTTTCCACAATTTACTCATGCACTGTATGAAAAAGCATCCCCTTTAGATTGTTTTAAACCTTCCACCTACAGCCTACACAGGAAAGAAAAAGGGATTTTTTGCAGGAGGAACATGAAGGCAAGCCACAATCTTTTTCCTAGATGTACTCATACTTCTAGACATCTATAAAAGAAGATCCTGACCAAAAGTGCAACAGGCTACATAGAGTGGGTGAAAACAACCTATACTTCAATGATTAATGATCCGCAATTCTCGAAGCTGCTTTAAACTCACCTGCCTGCTGCACCTGGTCTCCTCTGTGTTGAACTAAGAAAATATGGTCAACTTCACCAAAAGAAAAGAAAAATACCTTTCGTTTCTTGAAGGCTCCTTTGGCACCAGGCACAGCTTCACAAACACGACTGATTGCTTCCCTGAAGAGACAGAAAAAAAGCTTTATAGCAAATGGACGTGTGGGTTTCTTCATTATACTTCTGAAATGCACTGGAAGAGAACAGCACCAGAGAGTATTTGTATTCACAAGTGAGGACAGTTAGTGGGTCAGTTAGTTCTCTTCTAACTGCTACAACAGGTGTCAGGCAAATTTAGATTACTTCACCGTAATGCAGAAGACACTTACTGGTCAACGTTAGTGTAAGGAAAGATATCTTGAGGACCACAAATGATAAAAATGGCTCCTTACACTATCAAAAAGAACTTTTCTCATTGTAAATTAGAGTATTTATTTTAATACCTTCTTCCAATTCTTATTTTTTATATTATTAAGTCATGCAGAATCTCATAATAAGAGATGTCTTTAAGAAACATTGCTCTAGACCTCTTTTAACCTTTTTTGCAATGTAAAAGATAGTAACTATCATTTTGCTACTCACTGTACACTTGTACCTCCTGGCTTTACATAATATCAGCACCCTAAAACATTCCTGGTAAAATGCATGTTGTATGTGATGCACGTGACATATGCTTTGATACAAACTTTTTAACTGTTCACTACGACTCAAACGATATATTTGTGGCCATATTTTTACATTGCAAAGAAAATGAAAGCCATTAACATTTTTCTTCAGTTTTCTAATATCGCTTCATCCTTCCTGTTATGCTAATAGCCAGAGTGAAGAAATGCATGTTAAGAATGAATTTCAATTAGAATAACTATATGTGACCGAAACTTTTTGAATCGTACAGCTACAAATATATCTTTTAGAGCCTTTCAGCATTTAACAAGACATTATCCGAGTAGTCGAGCTGATCAGTATTTAAAAATTGCTATAGTGCATGCACAGACATTCCTGTGACAATTAGCAACACTGCTGTAATAGATGCTGCCCATTAATTGATACTGTAAGACAGAATGGCTCCACAGGGACCAATAAGGGTAACTGCAAACTATAGTTTAACTGTTCTAAATATTGATTGAGAGCCCAGACCATTAACAGTATATTACATTTAGACCTAGAAACAAGCAAATTACATGTATTTTATGCAAAAAAAATACAGAATATGGGACCATGAACTCCAAGCTGAAGAACTGTCAAAATAATCCAAACCTTGAAACACAACCTTGCTAAAAATAATAAATGACTTCAATGTAATGCCACGAGCAGCATCGTATTTCAACTCCACCCTACATGAATACATGGGACTATCAAGGCCATCGGGAGTTAGAGGTCATAAATAGTAGCATTCAATATATAATGGCTCAATAAATGATGTCACAGATTTATCATTATGCAATCAGTAGTCGCTACATAATTAAGTCTGAGGTGCTTTTACGTAGGGCCCAATTCAAAGTTCAAATCACCTGAAAGAATTCTATGTTGTTTTTTTTTTCCTTTGGCTCAGGCCTCACAGCAGGTTTAAAATCCTGTCATTCTGAAGAAAAGTAAGATTTATAGGAAGAGATAATCAAAAAGCTTTCAGGAACACTCCTTTCTTTACATCAGGAAGAGGGCTTGTTTGCTCCAAAGCTCGTTTGTTTGTTTGTTTGTTTTTTCCAACTACATCTGCTGGTCTCATAACATCACCCTTCACTACAAACCCTGCCTTGCATATGTCCTTAGACCATCACAGCTACAGCAGCACTCCCTTTCGCAGTTCATTGCTTGAATTCAGTTCCCACACTTACCACAAAGCTTCTTCAAATTCAAACAGATGTTTAGTTAAAGTAGTTACCAACTTTTCTTACATAGCAAGTGAAAATCAGTTGGTTTAAAAGAGCCGCCCTGATGTATCTTTGAAATAGAGGCCAGCAGACATCACACATACTTATCATTCTGATGTTCAGACAAGATACTCAGCTCTTCATCCTCTGTGTCTCCTCCTCTCATGCGTTCACCTCTGTTCTCTCTGTTCCCACCAGCGGTCTTACTGTCCCACTTAGCATATTAAGACTACCAGCAGGTCTTGCCTCTCACGAAAAGAATACCCATTTCAGGGACATGAACTGTGCTTGACAGATAAATTTGCCCATAATTTCCTTTCTCTTCCTATTTGCCTCCACCATCTTCCACTTGTAGCAGCAATATGGAGCAGGCAGAAAGCAAGGGCAATTTTCAGGTTTTCCTGACAAATATAGCTTAAGAGCTTGTTGTATTTCTAGTGCGAGGCTGCTGTTTGCAATATTTTTGCTCCTACCCCTTCCACCTGTAGGCTCTCCTGATTATCAGGCAGAAACCACATAGCTCAGTGGACCCATCTGATTCAAGGATCTTGCTGATCAAAACAGTCAGTTGAGCCCAGGACAGGAAAGGCACTGGCACAAGAGGTTGAAACCCTGTGCCAGGCTGGCAAGGCACCTTAGTTGCTGTTGCACACCATGTTTCAGAAGAGCTAGGCGAGCAATAAGCAGCTGACAGCCAGGACACACAACCTCGCACTCAATAACAAAGTGTTACAGATTTTCCAACTCTGGGTGTCCCTTTTAGGAAAATACCACAGTTTTATTGAACTCAGTGCTCCAGAAGTCTGCACAAACACTGCAAGTGGAGGAGAGACCTGAGAAAGGTGATAACTCATTGCAATGCTAGTCAGATAAGGCAGGTCATCTGCACTTAAACTGGACAATTGTTTTAACTTTGTTTCTTGTGTATTCTGTGAATAGTGAATGTACTCAGGCAACTGCTAGTTTAAGTTAACAATGCTTTTGGTAAAAATGTGAGGAACTTCATAAAGGACATTTTGAAAGCAAGACTGTCTATGCAAGATCAGAGTGGTCTGCCAGGCCAGGAGACAGCTTTCTCAGCAGCAATCCCTCATGTACCTGCAACAAAAGGTGCAGTGCTTTTTCCACCTGGGAGTTAAGGAGTCTTACAGAGTATCTGATGAATACGGGGGGAAAAAGGCCAGCTGGATATCTTCTGCCATCCAGATGTGCACTTTCCCAGGGGAAGGTTCCTGGCTCTCCGAGTTGAGAACATTCCAGATCGTCTTGGGAGGGGCTGGTCTTTACACGTAGTCTGGTGATATGGAAAAAACACCCTAAAGCTTATTTCTAGCTTGCATCGCCAGGTCGTACAGGGCAGATATCTTCTCTTTTTGCAGCAAGTCAAATTTGCAAATGCCTATGCAGTGTAAACACCTGAGCCACAAATCAGACCCAGAACCAGAAATAGCTGCTAGGTCGAGAGTGCACTTATCTGAGGCGTGCACGCTTGTCTAAGAAGTGCAAAAGCTGAAATTCTGGACATACTTGCATGGCTAAACAGTTGCACAGACTTTGGAAAAGCTGGATGTGACTACATTTTCTTCCTTTCCAGTAAGATAGTTATTTGACATAGATACCTGCCACATTTTCCTATGCCACATACCATTTCATTGGCTAGGCACTGATCTCAGAGAAATACCAGTGTAAAGTTATCTTGATCTCTTGTAAAATTAGCTACTGTGCAGTCTGCAGCAGGGACTACATGCTGAGCTCCAAATCTGCCCAAGAGTAATTTCTGCTTTGCAGATGGTCATGCTGTGGACTCATTTTCTTGGCACAAAACACATTGTATATTTGAATATAGACTTCAGCATGCAAATGTATCCAGTGAAGAATTATCAAAATGCATTTGCCCAAGCTGACCTGTTCTGCTTTGAAGTGACTTGACATGTTTCTGAGACAGAAGAAGAGGCATTTTACATTGGCATTTTGTTCTATTAAAAAGGCTAATGCCCTGATATTCTTCATAACTTTAGTCATATTTTATTCTGACTGTTATATAAAAGTAGCCCACTCAGGAAGCTGAAATCTGTTCCTTTATGAAACAGCATCACGTGAAAATACCCCCCTTCTTGTGGTTTCAGAGATTTTTTTGGCTGCGATGCTGGGTTTTGTTGTTGCTGTTTTTTAATTAAAACCACTTAATTGATTAAGAAAATAGAATTCTGGAACCAATGTTTCCGGGGAACGACAGGCGCAAACAAACCGCACAGATTTTTTTCAACATACTTGGAAAAAGCATAGCTGTTTTTTTATTGAAAATAGCAGCCACGACAAGTTTTTGCTGAAATGCTTTGTATGACAAGACCAAAAAGCTACCAATATTATCTTGCTAATATCTTCTAGTATCCTACAGTTCCCAAGTTTACCTTTGCCACCTCCAAAGGTTAGGGCTTCACAGCTAGGCATCAAAAATGTTTTAAAAAATAGACATCAAAAGATAGATTTGATTAATGAAAGAATGACATGTCTAGAAGGATGTACATAAGACCTCCAGTAATTTCTTAACACTATTAAACCCCTGCCAATCTTTTTAATAGTTTATAAATCACTACCGTGTACTGTATCTGTATCTGCTGAGGAGAAACAGAGTCTAAATTGAAATTAAAAATAACTTGCTTCTGAGAAAAAACAGAGACCAAAAATACATTTTTAGAAATCCGTTTAATAATTGAAATATTATTTGTTCATTTACAAAACAGGCAAAACAACTGCGTGCTGTCTGAAGCAGCAAATGGGACATTCACGAACCCTGAAGACTAGGACAATATACTACTGTTAAGAAAACTTTAAACGCCAAAAGGCAAATTGACGATGGTTGGAAGGTGTAAGGCTGAAAAAGTAGCTAATGAAAATACAACAGCGAATAAGGAAAGGAAGGGTGGAAGCGCAGCTGTGAGGAGCGGTTAGGCCTAATGCCACCAATTTTGAGTACTGTAGCCCTGCAGGGGGGCCCACTGAGAAAGTGCAAGAGAGACCTAGTGATGCCATTTGTTCCTGGTAGCCTCCCAGGAGTGAAGCCTGTCCTGCTGTATACAGGATGAGAAGCCTGGAAGAAAAGACTCGGGGAAAAAGGCGACATCAGCAGATGTGTCAAACAAGCTGTTGTCCACTTGTAGAGCAAGTAGAAGACAATTCCTCCTTCTCTTCCTCCCAGGTCCTCCTTTTGTTTCTTGAAATGGGGTCTTTTTACATGTGGAAAATCTATAA